TTTAGAAGGCTAAAGCAGATAAACAGGCACACACAAAGGAGTCAGTCTTAGGTTTCAAAAGTAATAGAAGCTGCTGTGATCTGCAAGCTCTCTATGGGCTAACCTAAGCTAAGCAGCTTGGGGATCCTTCACTGAGGTTTAGAAACATTGCCCACTCCAAATGCCAAGCACTGCAGTGATACCGTTCCTTTTGCTCAGGGATTTTTATTCTCTTTCCTTGAAGTTTAAACTGTGATGGGATGAGAATTTGGCATGTCCCCCCTTCGCGGGTGTGGAAGAAGCAATCGATCAGGTCACTTGACCAGTGATGTGCCATAATGGTTCATCCAGTGTCTATGGGCCTTCTGTTTTTGGGCAGGGGATGACACTGCCCATGGCAAACTAGTATTTCACACTTGACAGTGCTTCTCTCCTACCTGCGCTGGAAGGAGAGGTGTCCAGTTTAATAACATACCCTTGTAAAATTACAAAATAAATACATGCTACTTTATACCATGAGATCTAGGTGTTATAAACGAGATTAATGCAGGCAGCAACTCACAAGCATTTCATAAACTCCAAACACTAAATACATTCTCATAAATTTACCACCTATTTTATCAGCACTACCACACTAGAGAGACAAGTTGGTTTCACGCGATAGATTTGTCAATGTTCCTTGAAGCATAGGAGCCTTGACATGAACTGACACATGATTTGCCAGTGTCACATGAGACCTAGTAATTTGAAGAGAGCATTACATAAAAAAGTACCTGTTTGATGATTATCATATGTGGGTGCTGATCTCTGAATATTTAAGTGACTTACTACTCTATAAGCAGGGTCTGTGTAATCATTATCAGCATTTTGACAAACCTCCCTCACCAGAAAACTTTCTTTGTTCTTCCTGCTTTGAAATGAAACAAAATAGCCCACAAGTTTTGTTTTGTTTTTTAAACGTGGCTAACAATAGATTTTAAAGAAATTATAGGCTCTAGACCAGGGCTGGAGAACATATGGCCCAGGGGCTGGATATGGGTTCTGGCTTTCCTCTGGGCTGCCCAATCTGGCCCTGCTGCCATCAGGGGTATCCCGGGATTCCCAGATGGGGCTGCCCAGCTACTGCTGGCCCTACTGCTTCCAGGAGAGGGGGGTCCCTGCCTGGCTGCATGCCACTGGAATCCTCTCTGCAGCTGGGGGTTTCCCACCAAGGGCTGGGATTCCCTGCCCAGCTGATGCCAGGGTTTCCTAGCTGGGATGGAAGCGCCCCTGGTTCAGCTGCTGCTGGCCCAGCCCTGGCTCCCCAGCCCCTGGGGTTCTCTCAGATGGCTCCAGTTCCCACCTCCCAGGCTCTTTGGACCAGCAACATCCATGGCCCTGCCAGACCACGGATGTTGCCAGCCAGAAAGTCCCAGATTTGGGAGGCTCAACCTGTATCGGCACAGGAAAAGGTTCAGAAAAGGGCAACAAAAATGATTAGGGGTTTGGAACGGATCCCATATGAAGAGAGATGAAAAAGACTTGGACTTTTTAGCTTAGAAAAGAGGATACTAAGGGGGAATATGATAGAGATCTATAAAATCATGACTGGTGTGGAAAAAGTGAATAGGGAAAAATTATTTACGTGTTCCTATAACATAAGAACTAGGATTCACTAAACGAAATTAATAGGTATCAGGTTTAAAACAAACCAAAGGAAGTTTTTTTTCATGTGGCGCTCAGTCAGCCTGTGGAACTCCTTGCCAGAGGATGTTGTGAAGACCAGGACTTTAACAGGAATCAAAAAAGCGCTAGATACATTCATGGAGATTAGGTCCACCAGTACTTATTAGCCAGGATGGGTAGGGATGGGTAGAGAAGGATCATGTGATGATTGCCTGTTCTGTTCACTCCTTCTGGGGCATCTGGCATTCAGGGCTGGCTTTAGGAAGTGCAGGGCCCCATTCGAACAATTTCCACGGGGCCCCGCAGCAATTTTGGTTGAGGAAAAACAAACAAAAAAAGCACACAAGTTTCAACAGGGAGCCCGAGGAGTTTTTTTTGATTGAACAAAAAAAAAAAAAAAAAAAAGAAGCACAAAAAATCCCCCGCCAACACACACACATACCCTCCCGTGGCACAGGAAAACCCTGCGCTAAACTCACACCTCCTGTGGCGCAGGCAGCCGACGCACTCCTCCTCTGGGGCCAGCAGATTTGTATAATTGTTGGGGGTGCCCCATTAAGCACACCCCAAGCCCCCATTAACCATGCCCCCTGACCCATATTAACCACGCTCCGTAACCCCCGTTAACCAGGCCTCTGGAGGTAACATGCTCGGGTCAAGATGGACACATGACCAGAAGTAAAAGGTGTCATGTCACCCCTCTCAAAGGACTTTTCCCAATATCCTCCTACCAACAGGGATTAGTTTGGCACCCACCAAACTCCCCTCATGCAACTATCCTGCAATTGCATTAACCCAATGTGTGTGACATTAACTTGGGGGCAGAGAGGCTGCGGGAGGTGTTCCTTCTAAGCTAAGGCTATGTCTACACTTGTGGCTTCTTGTGCAAATATAGCCATTCTTGCACAAAAATCCACAGAGCAGCCACACTGCCCGCCTGCTCTTGTACAAGGAAATTTACAGTATGGCATGGTAAGAGCTATGCAAGAGCTACGCTCTTTTCTAACAGGTGTAAGCTCTCTTGCACAAGAGGGTAGTGTGGATGCTTAGCTGGGATTTCTTGTGCAAGAAACCCCTATGGCTAAAATGGCCATTGGAGCTTCCTTGTTCAAGAGAGCATCCACACTGCCATGGGCGCTCTTGCGCAACAGCACAGCTCACACATGGCAGTGTGGACATGTTCTTGTGCAAGATTTCTTGCACAAAAACCCTTGCGCAAGATGTTCTTGCACAAGAAGCCGCCAGTGTAGATATAGCCTAAGAGTTTCCTCCAATGAGCAGAATTGATTTTGTGTTGTACACCTGTTTTGAGTTCATGTGGCTTGTTTGGATGTGCCACTGTGGCACCCAAGTTCTTAATAAATGTTTTATAAACCTTAACATTTTCTCTCTGCTGCCATGTCTCCTCCCCTTGCTCCATCAGCTCCCCTGGTGCCTGCTGCCCCCCAATTTCTCTCCCTCCTCTGCTGTCCTGACTCCTGCCCTTCTCACTGCCCTCAGCCCTCCTGTGATCTGCCCCCCTCCACCAGCCCTTCTCTCCCCCTGCCCACTCCTCCAGTGGCCCCACTCTGATCATGTGAGCTATCCCTCTTCTAACACCTCCCTCTACAGACCTGCTCTGCCTCTCTCCTCTGGTGCTGGTCTCTCCCCTGCAGGTATCTGCCCTTCTGCTTCACCCCAGAATCCCCTGGCACCTGCACCTTCCCTTACCCCTGCACCCTCCTGGTGTCTCCCCCTTCCCTTACTGCCCCTGTCCCCGTTGCCCTCTTTTTCCTTGATGCCCACCCCCTCACCACTCTCTGCCTCATTCCCCTCCTGCCCCTCTGTTCCCTCCATCCCCATCTTTCTCATGCCCACCCCTTCTTTCAACCCTTCTCCCAGCACCTCCCCCTCCTCCCTCTAGCCACCAATGCCTTTCCCCTCTCCTCTCCTCTCCTCTCCTCTCCCCACATCACCCTG